AGATCGCAGAGAGTACTTATGAAAATAGCAAAACACACAACATTTCAGTGATATTAATATTTTCGTGTTGATTTATTGATATCAATACCAAATTATATATTAAATAAATATTTTTAACGAGAATTCAATTAAGAAATAACAGTAATTAAATCTATTTCTGGCATTACGTTGTCCGTGCACGTCCGTTACGCAATTCCTATTCGTTTTTATTCCCTTCTTCTCGTAAACAGTATATTCGTGCTCTCAAATACGGCGAGCAACTGTAGTTAGGTCCAAAATTATGCCTCGAATCACGTGTGACAGTATATTTATCTTTCACATTTTAGTTCTAATTTTTCGTTTGAATTGTTGTCACTTTGCAAATTATATTTTGCCGTTCGCGATCTGTGGCGTATGGGTAAAATTTAGACTCGTGTATTTGTTGGCATATAACTGGAATGATCCAGACCGAAAACAAAACAAAATGGCGGGATGTAATTTTGTTAGGGTTGAAAATAATAACATCGATAGAGCAAAATATCACTTCGGACTATCAATGGCTAATCAACTGATTATCTTATTAATTACACAGCCGAATTTATGCCCCATTTTATTTTGGCCAAATCGATTCACATTGTGTGTAATATTGTCTCAGGTGTGCTCCATTTCCTGTCCCATATCACATTGATGTTTTTATTGTGTTTTCTTATCCCGGAATCTTTCAGAATATTGTTGCTTGAATTGAAAACTTTCGGCACTTTATTCAAGCATGTTATGATGCTTATTATAGAGTTGTTGTATTTTATACCAGAATATGACTACGTTCATATGTGCTCGAGTCGCTAATGTGGCTACGTTCATTCTAGATTAAGGATAATTTTATTCCAGTATATGGTAATGTCAGTTCTAGACTATTGGTACATTTATCCCAAAATATGGTCACATTCATTCTGGAATAGTAGTACTTTCATTCCAAAATATGTTTACTTTCAAGAATAGTAATACGTTGTAGAATATTCTACCATGCTTACCGAAATGTACATATCTTCCTCGAACGAAACCCATTCAAGGCAGATAATGAGGACACAGGAGATCGTGATATCTTGGCAGTTTCTAACAGAATGCCTAAATAAAATATATAACTCGGCCCATGATGTGTTCGTTCTCCTCCACTAAGCACCGCTGACGCGGTCTCCATTAAAAACAGACATAACCTGGCTTATGGGAGGTCTCTGATCAATTTGGTTAAGTTCTCTGCATGTATTCACATTGCATTCGCATATTACTGACTGTGTTAAGTAGTGGATTGTGCCGACTGATAACACATGTATGTCTCATTGTAGATAAGATTAACTAGAATATTGTGCAGATATTACTTCATTGTCGTGTCTCTTAAAGTAGAAAAGATTCTACGCCCACGTATTTCGGTATGTTCTGAAGTTCAACACATTTCATTGAATAGTTATATACAAATAATTATCAGCATTCCCACGATGCTTTATAATAATTACCATGACGCATAACACCAATGGATTCAAATTGAAAGAAGATAGAATTATTTATGCCTCCACTCTCAAAAAACACATGACATTTTGATATATTGTATATGTTATTTCCCACTTGGTATCTTGTGAGAGTAGACTGATTCTGTTGTCGAGACCGTTAACAGGTGAAAATTGAATCTGTCGCAATTCACAACACATTGATTGATCCGTGAAACGGTGCCAGGGAAGCATGTATTATTTTCTGACCAACCCCGGAGAGTTCACAGTCTGCCGATTCTTTGTTAGACGTTTATAGTCGCCGATAAACACCACTTAAGGTACATGCGACTACAATTATACGAGCCGCCAACGCTTTGAACACACTACTATCGCACTGATTTTAATCGCCTGATTTTTTTTTTTCGCAACGTGTAATAAACATGTTTTCAAATTTCAAAAAAGCGTTTTTGCGTATTTTCCGTGTCAATATGTTCAAATCAAACACAATTAAAAGAATGACCTCTTGGGATTGATATCACCAAACCGTGGACTATCGACGGGATTAATCTTGAATTATCAGGTACGTATTTTAACGGGCTAAATAACGAGCTCAAGAAGTAGCATATGTGCGCTTTTTCACCGAATCATTTCGGAAGCAGCATAGTAGACGTGTGTCTGATTATATAATTTCCCCGTGGAGCGTATTCAATGCGTTCCAGGCGGGGAGCAACTGGTACCGAGCGCCACCCTTGAATTCTATGAATACAGGGCTTTGCAGAATTATCCTACTGTATGTTTTTCAAACAGATTTTCTAGCGAATCTTGTTAGGATTTAACTGTAAAACTAAAACATCACTATCGTTCAGATCAAACGTAGAATGAGTCAGTAGATCTATTTGCTAAATGTCTAATAGGACGTATGTAGGTAGTCAGGTTTTGATACTTTGAAGCAATCGGTAATTCACACACACATACACACACGCACGACGCAAATAATATTAACTCTATAATACCGTCCATGCATATGGAGGCCCGAGAAAGGTGATGCCCTGTGATGAAAATAGTAAGTGTTCCTTGTAATATTCTACGTTTTGAGATGCCATTCCGAGACGAAACTTCTATCATCTAATGAATACCTACCACGTCGCGCAAACCATTGCATAAAATCGGCTGCTGTATAGCTTTAACCTCGTCAAATAATGAACATCTACTGCATTGCCTCGAAGCTATGCGTTATCAGGGAAGCTACTGAGATATGAACGTGAATGATGTAATGATCACAGGAAAATATAATTGCTATTCGTTGCACACACATTATATTCCACGTACATGTATAACAACTTCTATTTCAACCACACCCTTGTAATGTGTGGACTATTTTACATTGTACGCCACTAAATTATTGATTCAAATACACGACATCAAAGACAATTTGACGATATGTATTCATGGTGTGATTAGCTGAAACAAAAAAAAGTTCGTGTTACTAATCCACCAGATTAATCATGTGATGAGGCAACTGATTAGATACTACGTGCGTGTTGAAAACCACGTAAGTACGGGGGATCACATTGATTCAAAACTGTAGACAAATTGGGTTCACTATAAAAAAAAGCGACTGCATCACAAGTCATACAGACTCATTACTCACACAACTGGAACAAACATGCATGTTGATATTGTCCCCAAACCATATAGTTATATAATAGTAATTGAATATTCCACATTTGACGTCATGGAATTATTATTTCCTATAATACTATTTCCTCTGATATTAAACAGACCGCAGATGCTTAATCAGTATCCCAGTAACCATTCGGACAATTGTATATTAACCTTAAATAGGACATTCTTTATTATGCTATCTGGCATGTTTCAGCAATTCACATCAATAACATTCAAATATAATATTCCTCCCAAATATTATAAATACAAATTATTCCCGTTAATATAGAATGTAAAAAGCGAAATTATAACATATCTGTTCCATCTAAAAAGTATATTGTATGAAGTCGTTATTCCAGGCAACTTATACTGTCATACCTGCAGTGACTTAACAAATCTAAATTATTCACTTCAGTATATATATGTATGTGAATTCGACAATGTTTTCTACTGTTAGATCGTACAAATTTTAAAAACCGTCAATTTGACCTGCAAATTGTTATACTAAGTGTTGAAGTTTGGTCTGTTTCATTTCATTTTTTATATATACACAATTATACCAATACTTTATTCATTAACACACGATGATGTCATGAGTTCAACATGTAACATTTTTTATCAGTAGTGTATTTTTTTCAGAAAACACACCAGTAAAATACAATCCTTGCAAGAGCTAGCTAATGCCCAGATTAAGACAGGTCTCACACCTGCAGAATTTACTATGATACTATGAACATGTCTTCGTTAATTATTTGGCGAGTAACACGTTTCTGAACCCCGAGGGTGTTTCTTGAAACTCTTCGATGGCTTGCATGTGTTAATATTCATTTTACCAGACTGAAAGCATCCAACATTCAATCTAACTCTAAGGTATATATATAGTACGATATATATGGTAGCATAGCGTTTGGTATTAATAAATGTGTGTTCTCTTCCATTGTGGTTTAGTGGCCATTGGAAGAAATATAACTATACTACGTATTGCTTTAGATAGTTCTTTCAATGCCTCGCATTTGAAACTACATTTCAAACAATCGAATAGTTGCCGAACTATTAAATGAAAACTAAAAAATGCAATAAATAGTACTGTGCCACCCATTAATCATTATATTGTGGTTTTCTGATTATTATGGGTGAGCAAAATCGGCTCAGTTGTTTCTCCCCTACCGTCTTAGCTGTTGTTATTTTTTTTTACGTTCCAAGATTTAAAACGAACCACGATACTGCACTTTACAAACTCCCGCATGTATCGCATATTTTTATTTATGTTTTATAGTAAATCATTTGACTACGTTTTATTTTACAACAGGGATGTCTAGCGCTTGTTTCAGACCCCCTAATAAGATAAACGCCTCGACCCGGAAGTTTACGGTCGCTATATGTGATGATGAGACTCCAGAACAATTAATTGTACACACATTCTTTGTGACTGGAAATTCATCTCAATTCACAACAAGAATTCCCATTGAAGAATTATTAAAATATAACTCACCAACGTCACTTTATAATCATATTACAAAACACTGAGTTAAACGAGGCACTTTCTAGACAGTAAATATTTAACAGCTTGATCATTTTTGTGTAGACAGGCAGCATGAATATCAACATTGAAGAAAACACAATGTAGTTTGTAAATGGCATGCATATAAACTTAATATCTTCTGGCTTGTATAATAAGAGTTCATGAAAATACACTCGCTTATTATGAGTGTGCATGCTCAAAATAAGTATTAATACTGTAATCCGATTCATTTGTAACAATAAAAGTAATTGTTCCTCTGGAGTCGCCTTCTTGGATCATCATAGTCATGATATACTATCCGTGTTAGGTGCAGCGATGAGTAAACATGTTACATCTGAACAATTTCTAATTTATACTTTAACACCGGTGCCTGTATTGTCTTCTTTTTTACGTAAGTTTAGTTTTGATAAAAGACTCTGCCATTTGCTTCCTTGTTGTTCCTGGTTTGGCACCCATGTCTCCCCACCTCGTTGACATTTTTTGGATCGGGGTAATTTCTTGCTTTCCGCCGCACTATCTTCGTCGCTATCGTCCGAATCACGTTGTTGAATTTCAACCGCCAGTCTAGCTTCAATAGCTTTGCCTAGCAGTTCGGGATTGAATGCTGACAATATGCTGCTGAGATCAGTCGCCATATCTGCCGCGTCGTCGACAGATGATTTCGCGGCCGATGTTTCACTGAGGGTGGTTTCACATGCCTCTGTTTCAGTCTCTATATTCTCGTGTTCAACATCCACTACTTCTGAAATTGGCTTTAATTCAAACTCTGGCATTTCCTCCTCGCTTTCATAGTTACCTTCATATATTACATTAGGAAATATGTGCTCAGTGGACGAACTGGTTAAGACGTGTGTCAGCGGATTCGACTTGTTCATGATAGTCGAGGACGTTGACGATGAGTGGCTGCTCAGACTTGAAACCGGTGAGAGACTAGGCGATGATAACAAATTTCCCGTTGCGGCTGGTGCTTCGGCGCTGCGGCCAACACGCTCAAAATTCGCTAATTGCCGGCGACCGTTGACATTTTCTTTTCCTCCAGGGTTAGGAATAAATTCTGGTAGGCTCATGAGCCTCCCAATTGACGAAACTGGTCGTTTAGTTGGCTCCTTTTTCGTATCCCTTTTGTGATTTTTGGCAAGTTTTAAGATATGCTGCAGATCGTCATTTGAACATACAATTCCCTCGGCCTGTGGTCGCGAGCAGCTGATTGTTTTCTGTCGACTGAACCGATTAACTTGTATGGCTGACTCGCTACTAGTTCGAAGGAGTTTTTTCGTTGGATGCCTTGGTCTCAGCGACGTGGCCCTTGTTTCAGTTTTTTTGTCAGGTAATGCAGGAATTGGAGGTGTTACTTGTTGGCGTAGAGGGTCAGCCTCGGAAGGTAATAGTCCACTTAACTTACGATACATTTCTCCACTTTCTGATGGCGATCGCGGTGATTTCCTACCAAGACTTGGCCTTTTTTGCTGTTTTTCATTGAATAAAGTTTTCTGTGGTGATTCGCTTCTCACATCAAAATAAGTGCTTTGGCTTCGGTTCTTCACTTCACACGGCGGCGAGTTACTCGGATCGTCTTGCGGCAACCGTTCATAATCCACGCTTTTACTTATCCGCATTTTAGATTTACGGTATTTATTGGGGGTGTTGTCGGCTGAGAGTCTCCGCCCTTCGCTCATTTGATCTTCCCGTAGGTCACTCGACTTAGTATTATAATTAGGAAGCAGCATGTGTGATACCGATGATGAAGTAGCAGCCGGTGATAAGAAACGTTCCGTCAAAGGTTTTGTCTCCTCCGTCGTTAGCGCCCCCGAAAGCTGCTCGAGCATAGTCGGCGCCTGCGTTTCCAGCTTACACTTACTCGTTTCTAGATATTCAGAATTGGCTTGTTTTCTCTTCCGCAGTAATTTCTGAAATGCGAAGGAAAATGATTTTTTATTTAACATATGCAAATACGTATACCATTCAAATGGATTGGTTAGAATCTATTTCATGTGACGCATGCGCTTTTTTGATAATTTCACTTTGACGGATGGGGATAAATAACTGCCAATTAATTAATTAATTCATTTCAAGAAAAAAAGGTATCTAGGGTTCACATCATTGATTGCTTCGGTGAACATGCTAATAATTAACATCGCGCGATAGCTTAGTTTATTGACGCCGTCGTGCCGCTCGATTACACATATGAGCTGACGCAAGATTTTTAATAAGCGTGGGTGATTTCAAAGTACATTTTGCATCCCTAGTCCCATATTCCACCCTAGATCATTGAGAATGTGACCTGAAATATGGATGTTTTCACACGGGAATTACTATAACCAGGGTTGATCACGGTTTGACCCACTCAGAGGCTCTCTAAGGACGTACATTTCAAAACTAATCATACCTTATCTGCATATATAATTACTAAGTCTTGAATCTGAGACAAAAGTGGGGATATCGAGTTTCACAGTGCAACATATAGCCACAGTATCTACAACATAAGCATGAGAAGCAAATTTTGTAAACGTAAAAACGTGTCGTTCTCGAGATAATTTAATTTGAAATAGGAACATATCGTCAATTGAAAATACAGTATGTTAACAAAATCAATTTTTCACGCATATGTGGCTTCGCACAGGTATACATTTTCGTAGCCAAGAGAGCACAAAGTGTGGGAATTTTGGCTAGGAGTGTAGAATGGCCACAGGAGCATTATTCTTGAACGGGCATGTGCGGAAATTAAAACAGACACGCGCGTATAGGTTTTATGGACCCGGTTCTGATATTAGTGTAGTACATGACTAAACACGTGTTCCGCCAAAATGTTGTCTCACTTCGTACTAATTAAATTAGGAGTAGAGAAACGAACCACTAGAACCATCAGCTGAAGTTGTTGATACAAGTATTACTGGGCGAAAATCACAGAATTTATTCATGATAAAGGTTTATATATAGATGGATAATACTGTTTTAGTGTTGTGCTGTACTTTTTTACTTTTGCTATTTGCATGATAAAATCATAAATGCTAGAATAATTTTACATAAACTAAAATTGTCGCTTTTGCGACACCACGAAAATATCGGCTGTATGACAATTGATCTTTTTTGAGTTAATTCAGTGTGAGGGCGCTGCAAATACGTCATTCGATGTTCGCGTACCGTGGGGTTGAAATCAATATGGCGATTGCATTTATGTATGCGCATTGGTAACTGAATAACAAAATCATCGCTTAAAAACAAGATTACGTTCGTAAAGTGTGCGAAATAATCTCAAACTGATTTGACAGTAATAATTAAAGCGAGAGTGTCGTCACTTGCGCATTAGGCAGAGGGTTTTTGTTTACACACAATCATCTACCCATGAGCCTTTGCGTTTTTATCATGCGTTGTTATCGTCGCTTGGGACTCAATTCCAGCGCGTGCGCAGGTAACGACCCCTCTGCTTTAATAACAAATAACATAATAAATTAGAAAAATTGAAATATCATTTATTGTGAATTACTTCAGTATCTCACTAGATGTCTAGTTACTCCACCGCAAGCGCACGCCCACGGTAGAAATAAAATATTTTTTTTTTTTTACAAAGAACTCAGAAATCACCATTTGAAAACACTAATACACACGCTGTGAATGATGTTTTATGTACCAAAACAATTCAGTGCGCATGCGTTTAAAATGCCTTACAAATCGATCATTCGAAAACATGGAAGGTACTGGAAGATTTGCCACGGTAAGCTAGAACATTATTGGAAAAATTCAGGAAAAGTAAATAGTTGTCACCATACAGCCATAAACTTACGTAAATATTCGCCCTACGGCATCTTTAAATTAGTATAACTCGAATCAAGGAATTGAAACAATACACCAAGACAAAGTATGTCCCTCATAATCATGCAACAGTGTATATCCGCTTATGGAATGAGTGAAAGAAATCACGAAATGCGAATGGAACCGATTATTGTGCCGGTTTCATGTGAACAGACACTCGTCAAGAATAGGCACTTTATAAATGTCAACATCTATGTATCATAAACACATCCGCTCATTCTCACGTGTTTTGTTGGTATCGCGTGACTAAGATCGCGAGATCTTAATTACTTTGGTGACACTCCAAGAAATGCAAAATACGTGTGTTCGCTACGATTTATTGCCCATCGGTGTCAAATCTGCAGATTGTAGATCTGTGAACGCGATGATTTATCAGCATATGACGCCAGAAATAACGTAGCTAAAGTAAACGTAACAGTGTATTCTGTTCTCAAAGAGGTCATTCGAGCACATACATGCAGTGTTGCATTTTATCATGACATTTTCTTAGCATTTCAAGTATCTCTGTACTGTGATCACATGACTACCAGGGTCGATACACTTGGTGTTTTACAATTCTAAGTGCATCATGCTCGGTAGGAATGGAATTACGAAAATGATAACTGTCGATCCTAATAGTTGCGTCTGCCTTTTAGTTTATGAAACAACATATGACACGTATTACGTTTGTCGAGTCTGTTGATGTTTCTCATTCAATGTAAATGCCTTCGCGGTCGATATTTTCGATGATATGAGTTTGCAAAACAAAGAGAAAACATTCCAAACGCTGTTTTTATTCAAGACATTCGCCTTTCGAATATAGTCAGGATGTGGACATAAATGTGGATAAAAAATGTACGCCAGACTAATATATTTCAATATATCGCTGGGTCATGCATCCCGTAATATAAATTAATAGCCATTATGTCATGCTTCTCGTTACCTAAAACACAGTTAAAAAACACATCTTTGCGCGACTTACACCATTGCCTTGTATAGTGACTGCCCATACAGGCACATTCCATTTGCTAATAACTGGAGTGATAAAGATAAGTATTAATAATAATCACCAAACTTTAAATATTAATTGAATGGCGATGCCCACTGTCCACTCACTGGTTACTTAGCATCTTGGATCGATTTACTGTGAGGTAATTAGAACGTTACATAAAAACACAAGACAAAATAATGAGAGTTCAATTACTTTTCAGTATTTTGCATGCCTGATTACTATTGCGACAAACTGGGTAATGTACCGTAAGCTCGGGCATGAGATGTATAGTTGGGAATAAAATAATTGATATGATGCCCTTTAAACTCTAATATTGTGAGTTTAATTTTCATCATATTTATGTTCCACCGCGTCAATGCATTCTGACACTTGGAACCTAGTCGTATAATAGATGACCTCATTACACTGATAGAATACTGAATGAAAACACGAATTATTGCAATATTGGCCATTGTTATGCACTCCATGTTGTTTGAATGCTTTGAAACTTAACTCAAACCTCCCACGATGTAAGTATTGTAACCTCAATAAAAGTCAGAATCCCATCGGACCGGGAAACCCCAAGATTGTCTCCCTGGCAACTCACAAATAACGATTCCAAATCCCACAGATTGACTTTTGCAACGATGCTAGTTCCCCGTCCAGAATAACAAAATGTTTCTCCCCGATTTGAGAGCTTGTATATAGAAAAGATGGCTGGTTATCGTGACTCCCAGTGGACGTATTGGTCAATTTTGTCGAATAAGTCAGATGCAAGAAAATCGCTCTTGTGATTTCTTAAACAGTTCGGGGCATGTGAAGACTATATCAGAACAGGGTTTACTACAAGATTTCATTATAAAATGATAAGGTGTTAGACTAATAGAGAACGCGTCATCTTATCTATGATTTTACATTGGATGCTGGTACTGACTTTTAATTCAAGGCCAATTCCTAGTTCGTCACAATAATACTATATCTTACTTAGCACTGTATTGATTATGGAGGCTTTATAGCAACGTTTTATAGTCGCCACAAATGCTCAAATGATGTTCGTTCGGCAGGGACCTCGTAAAAATAACAGCTAACTTATTTCAAATGTGTTTTGTAAGATGAAGTAACACTATAAATATTCTTGTTTAGCACCCAGATGCTCTTTTTCGCTCATGACTCGAAAAAGTTACTTAAGGTATTACACTTAATAATGTTCCATTTGTGTATTACACACGATAGCACATTTTTCGTTGTCGACGAGGTATGTACATTTTTTCAACCTTAGCTCTTGATTTTGTTTATGAATATGACGTGATAAATTTGCCTTCAAGTAAACTAATATAAATCGCACTGACAAAGTGCGTGTTTTTCAAAATTTATACCGAAAAGCATACATCGCTCGGAACGTTCGAGCGCTACACAGGCCCGAGAATACTAAGTTCAAAACAACAGTGAAAAATTTACCGACCGGAAACGACTTCAGAGAGATACGTTTTGCGTCACAGTAGGTAAAACGTTTTGTCTGTGAAGTCGCTT